AGACCATGGAACATACAGCAGTAAAGTCTGAAACTGAAATACTGCTGTATGTTCCATGGTCTGAAACTGAAATACTGCTGTATATTCCATGGTCTAAAACTGAAATACTGCTGTATGTTCCATAGTCTGAAAGTGAAATACTGTTGTATGTTCCATAGTCTGAAACTGATATACTGCTGTATGTTCCATGGTCTAAAACTGAAATACTGCTGTATTTTCCATTGTCTGAAAGTGAAATACTGCTGTATGTTCCATAGTCTGAAACTGATAGAAATACTGCTGTATGTTCCATTACTGCTGTATGTTCCATAGTCTGAAACTGAAATACTGCTGTATGTTCCATAGTCTGAAACTGATATACTGCTGTATGTTCCATGGTCTGAAACTGAAATACTGCTGTATGTTCCATGGTCTGAAACTGTTCCATGGTCTGAAACTGAAAATACAGCAATATTTCAGTTTCAGTCTATATGCCATAGAAGAACATTTAATTAAATTTAGTAGCATGACCCTTTTTTATTATTCTTAAGTATTCATTATGCTGCTATAAGTGAATATTTATTGTTTATAATATTTTAGTTGACTGAGATTTTACTCTAACACCATCGCTAAGCTAAGCAGTAAGTCTGAAGGCTTATATATAACGTTGAAACTCGGGTTTCGATTCCCTTAGTGGTTAGAGGAACAGATAGTTCACTGTTTAGCTTTGTACTTAACAATAAACAAATAAAGTTACACTACTAAATAAATAAAACTGTATTATTTAGTTACACGGTCATTTTTATTAATATTATATATATTACACTATTATAATTGAATGGTTTTATATTCTTCAAATCAATAAAAATATAAACTCTGAAACAACAAATATTTATTTCCATTTAAAACGTACAGATATACCATTTATACATTTTCATATTATTCAAAGAAATATATTAATAGAAACTAGATTTCTTAAACCGGTTTTACCATTAAACGGTGCAAATGGTGTGGTAAAGATCTTGGAAATACATTATTTACTTTTTTATGTCAAATTAATTGATAAAAATGTAAAACGATTAACAAATTTAATATAAAAAAACGTTTTCACCACATACTCCGTAAGAAGATAAACAATATCTGAACCTTCAGAAGAGTGTTGTTTTTTTATACGCAACGGTAACAATGTTCACTTAGATTTAATTATTGATCAATATATTGTGAACAGCTACCTGAAAAATTATCATGTGATATTCTAAAGCAACCAAAAAGCTCTCTGCAAACAGAACAACGTCGATACCTTAATATCGTGGACGAGTTAAGAAATATATTTGTCTATCAAAATACCCGACTACATTGACAAAATCAAACCAATCGGCAGATTTATCTCTAAGAGACGTTACCCGTGTGTGAAGGTTTGTAATTAAAAGTTGATATCGTTTTAAAGTAATACGTATAACATCCTATCAACCTAAATAGAAATCGTATTATTGGTCGAAACAGAATACAATCAAATTAATGTTAGTAATCCATTTGATCTATACTATCGCTAGGCTTACAACTGTAAAGAATTCTAGTTAATGGTGGACTCTAATGGAACCGATATTAGATAATGATATTTACCTGTTGTACCAGTGGTAGTTTAATTTTATTGTTTTGTCTACTTACTGAGAGGTATTCATGGGTTTGCGTAAAACATTATTCCTTCTCTCTGACTTTTTACGGTAATTAATTTTCGAAATGGTTTATAATTAAATGAAAGTGTTTCGTTAGCATTCGTTTTATTGTGTTAGAATATGTTATCGTGGCGATTTTGTAACTGATATTGCCAGACAACTTAAGCGTAAACTTTTATCACATTTGGTTTAATTTTAAGTGGTTCTCGAAGATAAAATCACGGTAAAATTTCTGTAAAATCAAATAAAACTTTGAAGATACGTGTAACTCTAGTTACAGCAAGTAATATTATTATCCATATTCAAACATAAAACACACTTTACTTCAAAATAAAAACCACTATGCTACATTATATCTAATAAAAACAAAATATAAAATTAAGAATTACAATAAATATTTGAATTCAAGCACTTCTAATACTACAAAAGATTTACACAGCAAAGTTGTGCACATAAATTAGATTTGATAAGTAAACCAATGTTTACAATATTAGTGTTTTAATAACAAGTTTGATGTACAGTATCCACATATTTCAGAAGCACAGAATATACTTCCCAGGATTATGTATTGAAATTACAACACAGTTATTTTATGTTTATATAGTAATTTGCTAAATTTTTTAATGCACAATGTACAGCAAATGTCTTTTTCCAAAAATTCCGAAAGAATCATGCAAAAAAAATTGAGGTTCAATACCGACAGTGACCAAAGCACAGATAGTACATTGTGTAACTTTTCGCTCAGTAACAAACAACAAATCACGTAGATATATTTAATGTGTAACTTTTCGCTCAGTAACAAACAACAAATCACGTAGATATATTTAATGTGTAACTTTTCGCTCAGTAACAAACAACAAATCACGCAGATATATTTAATGTATAACTTTTCGCTCAGTAACAAACAACAAATCACGCAGATATATTTCAATGTATGTATATAATAGTTATTTGATGTTGCAGCAAGAATTTTAAATGCGTCTTTATGTCTGTAATCGGCTTTGAGACAACATCACACCGATTAATATTAGGTACCCAAAGTTTAAGTGATCGCATTTAATCCACAGAATGTTATAAAGATATCAGTGAATTGTGATTGACAAATTTCAACCTTATTTTCTGGTATTTCGAAATTTCTTATCTGATTTTATATCAGACATACATTTACCAAGCTTGATTGTCGACAAAACCATACAAACATGTAGTCTAGCTTAACAATACAGATTTATTTATTTAAAAAAAAATATTCATTATACTGTAAACTGAAGTACTAGTATAATACGATATTTAGAATTTTTTTTTTATATTATCCACTAATATTTACTTGGATGCTACTCTTAGGGCACACTGTAGACGTTTATAGGATTTGGCGTAAAAACAAAAACTTGGAAATGTATGTGCGTTATCAAACCAAATTAGAAAAAAAATCAGTTACCTGACTGCGTTCATGGCAAAGCCGCTAAAGTAGTGTAGTGAGACTGTTATTAGTTCCTTAATCGACTGGAGAGTAGTGATCACTTGGAATAAACCACTCATTACAATTTGTGGACGTCACTCTGTGCGATTACCTATGTTCTGAACGTTTAATACTAATTGAATTGTGCATGCTGAACATAACAGTTCAGTACAAAGTTTTAATTGCTATTAGTTTACTTAACACATGACGCTGAGAGCAACTATAATGAGACAAAACGAGACTAAATACTGGTTGAAACATTGCTCCTGACCAATACATGCCACGTGTAAATACAGTTTCATCTAAGAGTTATTTATGTTTTGTAACTATAAGTATTTCGTACATGGTAAACTAAATACTAGTTCAAATACTACTGCGTACTAATTTTTCTGGATACACATACCGAATCTTTGGTGAAAAGAGTATTAAAACATTATCATTCTTTTCAATACACTATGTTTTTTACCTCTCTGTGTGTGTTTATAGTGAAAAACCCGCTCTTATTCCACTATATTATTTACATTCACTAACATTGTATCCTAGAGATGCTTTTATAATTGTAGTATAATTGATATGGAATCTACAAGTTACAGTGAAAATATATTTGTCTTGGACTTGAACAGAAACAACAGTAATGATACACTAATATAATACAGCTTTGCAGGGGAAAACGTTTGTTTATTTTTTCATTATGGAACGTTTAGAGTTACTATTAAAAACCTAAACATACATATTGTATGGAAGAAATGATTGGTTTAAATTGAACCTAATGTGGAAATTTCCACAGTAGTTTCAAACATTTTGTTATTTTCATTTTTGATCATCTCAGATCGCAGGCATGTACAAGAACCTAATATGTAATACGCATCTAGCTTGAAGTGACTTACAAACTAACAAATCGAAAAGTTAACACTTTTAGAGAGGCTTCTCTGGTACTGGAAGGGCACTGGTTGAAGTTGGTCTAGTGGCTGTCTTAGCAGGTTGAATGATTCATTAACTGCAGTAACTTATTCTTCTGCTTGCTTCTTATGAAATTACTGTACATCTAACGATAAGTAATACCACAAGATCGATCCGACGAAGAAGCGGTGAATATATTATAACATAGTCGCGTAGTTTCTGAAGTGGTAAAGTGCCACTGGTGATAAAGCTGTAACAAAAAGAATTATCCGTCTACAAACCGTATCAAACACGAACGTATTCATACGTAGTGGATTGTGTTTTTCTACCTACAATAAATGAATGTGTCACTTTGGTGCGATTTCTTTTTCTTTTATCATGTTACAGACAAAGCATAGATGATTAGAATTTTCTAATGCTTCGGTTGTTTGGTCCCATAATGGTTTGAACATTCTCTACTCGGTAACTTCATTTAGCTCAGCAAGCTGTTGGTTACAAAAGCACACTTCTGTGTCTTGATTCTTCCTCGTCGAAAATGGTTTTGAAGTCAATAGAAAGCAAACTAAAGATCGCATTTCTGAAAAAGTAAAAGAAAAAAATACATTTTGTTTGAAGGAGTAGCATAAAACGAAACACACTAAGTTATTTTTACGATTTTGTGCGTAGTTTTCAATGGTGCTTTCATATTGATGCCTAGTTGTGACAAATATGTCAGTAAGTATCTCTAATACTCAGAAGTGTTTTGTATAAAGATCAATAATAACTTCAAAACTACAATAAACTTGTATAAAACTTTTGTTTAAGTGCCTTAATAGAGTATTAAAGAAACAATCGCAAATGTAAAATTTAAGTAGTTGATCTAAGTTGATTGGCATTCGAATGATTCATTCTTTTCAGATTGGAGTTTTCAATATTTATAAAGAATAATTTTTATCTCTTACAAAGAAATGTTCCTTTTTATCAGCGGTAAGGTTCGGGACTTCTAAATCAGAATGATGAACAACATTAGATCCACTAAATAGTTACATTTTGAGGAACAAGTACGTACTTCACCAATTTCAATAAATCATACATTAGTGGTTCTCCCTTCTGCTACTGGTAGTTCCTCAGATCGACCAGGAATAGTCCTTCTAAGAACTGGTGACGAAGGTAGCATCCTCACCCTTAACCCAATTTCTTGAGGAATTTCTTGTAGTGCAGAACATTGGGATTGCGGACTGAATGTTTCCCGTGACTGGGAACATCGTGGGGGCTCCTGGGAGGTATAAAGATCAATCACAAAGAACAGCGATAAATAAAACTCTCAATAAATCTTAAACTTTCCAGGCAGTGATCAGATCATACAAGGCTTTAGGTAGGAGAATACCAAGCATTAAACTAACTGGCGAAGATTGCTATATAATTACTTCGCAGCACGCATTTAATTTAATGTGCTTAAAAAGAAAAACGGATACATAAGAGGATATTTAAATAGGATATTATTAAAGAGATATATAGAACAACAGTGGAAACCTATCTAAACTGGAGCTTTTTTCTATGGGATAGGTGACAGAATGTCAATATACCTTTCCAGAGAGGCTGCTAGTAAGCTTTTGTTTGTGAATTTTTAGCCTTTTAATACTTTACTCTTATTACTGTTTTTGTATATGCACTGCTGCAAATAATGTACGCGAACACTAATAATTATGTTCAGGTTTTTTGTAGTGGTAAGGCGCGTGGATCTCGGGACCTAACGCAGATTGTTGTATATACAACGAGAAATAAAATACTATATTTTTATTTAAAGTTAATTTTATTAATGTTATTGATTATAGTGCTTATACTGTTTTTGGCTATTGTTGTTATTTTATTATTATTAATTTTAAACTTACGAAGAGCATTTTCAAATGTTGGTTTAGTAGAGATATTTAGAACTAACCTCAGTATCCTAAGCTAGCAAAACCTATTGAGAGAGATATCAGTAGGTTATAGCCAAAAATGTCGTTAATAGTGAAGATACCAGACTTTTAGTTCAATGGATTCTTCTAATCTCAAAAGTTTTACTTTGTTGTATATTAATTAATGACATTAGGTATTTCTTTCAGTTTAGTTAAATACAATTGACTTCTACAGTTTGTCTTTCATATTGGGCTTCTAACTTTCAAGAACAAGTTACATTTACGTCGTTCCCCAAATAAAAAATAATACTTAAGTTGGATTATATTTATTACAGATGTGTTTGTTTATTTGTTTTTAATTATGCACAAAGCTATACAAGGGATATCTGTGCTCTGACTACCATGAGCATCAAAACCAGGTTTCTATTTATTACAGATGTGTTTGTTTGTTTTTAATTATGCACAAAGCTATACAAGGGACATCTGTGCTCTGACCACCATGAGTATCGAAAACAGGTTTCTATTTATTACAGATGAATTTGGAATATGCGTATCTATTATAAAGCCGTATGCAATTTCATAGTTTTGTTTTTCCTCTTAAAGTTTTTATATAACCCTCCAAAACAAATGCCCCCCAGTGGAACAGCGGTATGTCTGCGGACTTACAACGCTAGAATCCTGGTTTCGATATACGTGGTGGGCAGAGCACAGATAACCCATTGTGTAGCTTTGTGCTTATTTATAAACAAACAAACAAAAAATAGCTTAACAGTTTTCATTCTAGAATTTTCAAACTTTTCGGATGATATATTTCACTTTCACAACACGAAGTATAAAGGGGTATGTATATGTTTATGTAGAATGTTTAATGTTTTTGGCGCCTTCCTTTTAACTTCCAAAACGCCTATAAGGTATAACAGGTTTGTGTTTGGCTTATCGCTGAATGATCCGTTTTCCATTGTGTAAATATATTATGCAGATTTTTAAACGTTATTTACAAATGATTTATTTACTGACAAATGGTAATGTAAACTCACCATATCTAAGCCTTGACCACCTTCACCAAGTGGTTGAATTTGTGGGCTAAGTTCAGCTAAGGGACTCGTCCATCTGACGGTGTCACCCATTGAAAATGTTTCACTCTCGATAACACTACGTAGTTCCACCAGATTTCCATTGGCTGTAGAGAAAAGTGGAATAATTATGGAACAAACCATAGTCGTATTGGCTGTAGAAGACAGGTGGAATAATTATTTAATAAAGAAATCAGTCATAGAGATGAAGTGTTGAAGGTTTTTACTATTAACATTTATAACTACGCACCAATTGGTTGTAGAAGACGTTTTAATGTGTTTTTCGTATTGTATAACAGCTGGAAGAGTTAAGGAGTAATGATTCTACGCTTTTTAACACTATTTGCAGGGCATTGTTGAAATAAGAGTCTGCAAATTTGTACATCCATGAAAAAATTTTTATTTCCCATCAAATTTCGAAATGTTTACCAGTTTCAAGTTTATATACGCAATAAAATGTTAAAACATGTGGTTTTTATGGTGTATTACGCCTTCTGCGGGTAAAACATGGTCAACAGATTTGTAATTACATCACAGTAAGAGTGATAATATTTTCCCACAAATCTTTCTATAGTAGCCAATGACGACTTTTCAGTAAAAATAATATAATAGTATCTAGACTGCACAGAATGTGTGTTTCACTTCTCTTTCGACGAGCCCTTTCGTTCAATACCAGAGTTCATCAGGTGGGCTGGATATGTAACAAAAAGCCTCAGTAAAACGCTATTTTTATCAGCTATTTATAAAATAGCAATTATTATGCCGGTGGAGCACGACCTATAGGTTAGTGATTTGTGTGACTTTATATCGCAATAAAACTGATGGTGGTTCATAATAGGGATCGTAAGGAATTGCACAAAATCCTAAAAGAACCATAATAGCACCCTAAACAGTAAATATTCACTTCAAACATCACTCTAAAACCTTTACTACTGAATACTAAGGCTGTACACATATATAAATGCACAACAAATCAAGCATTGTTACACTTACAAGGGAAAAAAATCCACTAAAAACGGCCTATTTATAAGTATTATTCTTAAGAATATTTTTACTATTCTTTTGCCAGCCTACAACAAAACCGACTTGGTATATTGCACCCAAACCTTTTGTAGAATACTAAATAAGGTACTGCGCAGGTAGTAGGGATATTGAAAAGTGGATTTGTTAAACACTATTCTAGTGTAAACGATGTTATCATTACCCCTTGATATTAGCTTTCTTATAAATATATGACGTTCCTTTAAAAAAGTGAATCAGGAATTAACAACCTATAATAGATTAATATTATGTGACTGTAATATGTAGAAACTTAATGCTTTGTACACTATACAATCAGTGTCTTTAGGAAGCCATCCTGTATATTATGTATGAAGTGAAGGCGTAAAAAAACCAATACACACATTCGTAGAACAATTACTTTAAAAGACATGAAGGTTTATTTAAAGTGAAGTTTTAGACGTATATGTTTTATTTAAAAAGGTTACTTTTCTACTTAAAACATTTATACGCGCTCAGTCGGGGTTGTGCTTTATATTTATTCATTGCTATGCATTATATATATAGAGAGAATCCAGTTATACAGAAACTATTAATGCTCACTATGTTCACAAACGAATTTTGTGGACAATCTAAAGCTGCAGCTTAACGTTTTACATCTCGAACTAACGCGACCAAATGGTCAATAGCTACAGTAAATCATCATGAACCGTATCAGTTAACTACTAGCTACGTTTATTATCATTACAATATATAAAGTTATCTACCATATCAAGTAATCCTTTATCCACAGTTGAGAATAAAAAAGCCAACAAACAAGATAAATATAAAATTAAGAGTTTAAAAACCTTGCAGATAGGGATCGTTACACAAAGCTGGAGATACTGTAGACATTATTTACTCAAACAACAAATCCTTATTTTGACCCCATCAAATGTAATTGTAGGAAACAACAAGGAGCCTTGCTTCCTTACGTTTTATACGATCCTATTTGCAGGTTTTTTTTTAAAATTCCCAATATTTTGTTTATCTTGTTTTATCTTTCTTGTAGAGGGCCAGTAACGAAATATATATTTAAAAATATTATACGCCTTTTTGTGATGTAAATCACACAAGACACTGAACTATATTCTTTATTTTTATATTAAAATAAATGAGGTATTGAGAGTGTTGTCTATTTATAAATGTCGCAGAGAAAGAGTTAATCTTCTGAGGTGAGAAAATATTCCTATGTCGCGTTTTTATCCTTTGTCATCTAGTAGCAGATAATGTCATTATTTTCAACATAACATGTCGCAGTTGAAAGAATTACTAAATGTTACCATTCTATAACTAGGAAAAAACATATTTTTATTTAGGTATATTCAGATATAATTTTTTATGTGCAAGTGTTTTCTTGCTCGTAGTTAATGTTATCGTTACCTTTATAATATGCTATCATCGACAAAAGTTACATACTAAAACAGTTGTTTTAATAGAGCTTATACTTATTTAATCCTACTTCTGGATTATTGCTCCTCTGGCGTGCGGATTGTACAGAAATTAAGGGGTGGTACAGAGACTTTTACAAATTAGTACAAGTTGGAGGTTTATTTGTGTTGAAAGTACAAAAATGATTGTAGAATTGCGTGATGCCGTCATAGGACGTTCATTTCTGGCTTAACAGGTCCATAAAACAATAATCCGATTTTTATTTTCCTTTTTATGCAAAAGTGTATAATCCTCTCTATTTCAGCAGCCAGTTGGGTTTTGAAAGAATACAGAAAACGACCAGCCTTGTTAAAGGCTCCAGCAATTATAACTTTGGGTAACATTTTATTTATTCCCCTATGTTAGTAGCTCCTTTTTCTTTGCTATCCCAGCGCTATTTATTCTCTGTTTAACATTTCCCGAATATGCCGCTTATAGCAGATTCCATTTAACTTACGTGTTGGTATTCAGTGTGTCTGAATACCACAGTATTGTTAATATTTAGATGCCTAATCCTTCTAATTACTATTTTAACTATTTATGAAGAAATGGTCGCATTTACTACTATAGGACTAGCGCTTGGTAACTGTCTAGCGGAGAATGTTTAATGAAGGTATTTGTTACCAGTGAGTTTAATAACTTAATTGATTTTTAAATTGTCCGCTCTCTTGGAGATAATGATTGGGTAACTTAGCACTAAGCTCAAAAATATATGTGTACTCGTGAATTAGAAAATGGAATAAACTTAAGTAAAAAACCAGCTGAAGCGAAAAAAATGAGGTAAATGAATTAATTTCCACATCAAAAGAAAGAACACCAGAAAACTGAGCATAAAGATGGTGTAGATTTATGTATGCATATCTAACAAATGAAGGTACAATCCTGAGCTACAGTTGAGAGATAGATATACCACTATGAAAGTGGAATATGTTATTCATATCAAAAATCATTTTAACATGTAACTGATAAACTTCTGAGTGTTCCCGTTTTTACTAGTTCAAATACTATATAAACGGGTTTATTTTAAGCAAATACTTGTATATTATATCTGTATAAAGGTAGACATTGTAGCGTTGAAACCGTGCAAATTGTGATAACAAAAATTATTGAACAGACAACACTGGACGACAATTCTTTGAAAACATAGTAATAGGTTTACAATAAAACTGACCGTCGAATTCAATAATCAGGCAGTGGTGCAAGTCCGATCACACCTGACATTTCCATTTTACTTTGATATATTGAAATAATAATAAATATAAATATTTCCTAACCTGGTATAATATCCGGTCCTCTCTCATCTTCTATAGTTGAAAGTGGCCTATAGTCTTCGACTCTAGTTTTTAAAGTTCCGCTTTCCTCTCTAGATCAAATAAACGTGAAAGTACCTTAAATACCTTCAACATAAAAGTACCCAATGAGAAGAAAAACATAAAATCAACTAATTTTATCCAGAAAAAAAAACAACAAAAACATTACTTGAAATTCATATTTCTCATATAAGATTAATAGTGTTTGGTATTTTTTAAAGGTGGATTTGTTTATTTGTTTTTTAAGACCAGAGCTACACAAAGGGCTGTTGGTGTTGTGCCCACTGCAGAGAACAAGCCAGAAGTTTTAGAGTTTTAAGCACTCAAGCTTACTGTTGAGTTCAGTCATGAGAACTTTCTTGGTAAAAAAAATAAAGGTTTTGACCTTTTGTATTATCAAGATATGATCAGATATTTACTTTTGTAAAACCAACATTACCTAAGCATCAATTAAACAGTGAATAATTTAGGAATTATAGTGAAGTCACGTCGTTTCAGCGGTTATCTGACATTATTCTCATTATTTTTTAATTGTAAGTACAACACTTACTTACGAATCGAAACCGTGTATAAACTAAATAACACCGTAGTACAATAATTTTGTGTTATATTTCTCCTAGCCGATGTTTGCATGCATTTGTTCTGTACTCATTGTTTATAGTCATATATAATATCATACATAATTGATTCAACCAGCTAATGAACTTTTCAAATCTCTTATATTAAGCACTATTAATTAATATCTTTACAGTAAAAGTTCCACCTCAAATTCTTTGGAAGCCAATTGTATCCATATTCAGTGAGTTCAAAGGAAAATGGTTTTATACATATTGGCAAACACAAAAGCGCAATAAATACACAACTGCAATAATTATTTATTATGTGTTAGACATGGGTAAGTATGTGGATAACTAAAGGGAGCATTATCTCAGTTGAAACTGATCTTAGATCAGGCAGGGAAAGTACTTTCGTTCTGCTTAGACATTTAAAACCTAAAAGTTTAGGTCACATGCCCTGTCCTCAGATCTCTTCAAATTACATGATTCTGATACGCCATTTAAGTTTATTGTTTTCATCATAAATTCTCCGCACAGAGGAATTCCGATTTCATCAGTATATTTTAGATCCACCATATGATACCAATGGCTTCTCTGTATCCATTTCCTATCAGGTTGTTACACTGAACATACTGACATATTAGTGTCATTTGATGTCCTGATGTTATATACATAACACACTGAAGTGTTAGTGTCGTTTGATGTTCTGATGTTATATATATAACACACCGAAGACAGAGACATATTAGTGTCATTTGATGTTCTGATGTTGTATACACAACACACTAAAGATAGAGACATATCAGAGACATTTGATGTTCTGATGTTATATACACAACACACTGAAGATAGAGATATATAGTGTCATTTGATGTCCTGATGTTATATACACAACACACATGTATTCTGGCATGTTGCTGTTGTTTTATGTTGTGGTGTTATTTAAACAGTGAAAATACTGGCAGATTATGTTATGGTGTTAGTTATATTTGTACCGGTTGGTTTTGTTACGTAAATGGTTATAAATCTGTTCGTTCATGGTTAAGCATAAAGCCTTACAATGGGTATTCTGCGTTGTACCCTCCTTAGAGATCGTACCAGAAATATGGGCGTTATACGTCCCCAAGCTTACCTCTGATCCACGACAGACTCGGTTAATAAGTTGTTTAGTACATATCGCAAGCTTAAGGAGCGGACTGTACTATATTTATCTAAGCAATATGTAACTTAGCTACTACATTTCAGTTCAGGTGCCACTAATCTCTCGTGTTAGAAATCACACTGTATACAAGTTCGTAGGACAGACATGGTTTGCCAGTATCGGTAGGATATGAAAACAATACATCGAAGATCTGTTCGTCATCACCGCAGGAAATTTGATTGAAAAGTAGATTTAATTGAAACTTCACTCAAACATATTAATGTTGAATTAGCAAAAAAACAGACAAACATTTATCTTTCTTGGATGTCCTAGTCATATGGGAGTAAAACAGGTTTACCAAACATACAACTAATTAGCTTTCCTAAATCTTCTAGTCATACAGGAATAAGACAGGAGTTTCTGGTTGTATTGCAGCAACTTAAATATTGAAGATACAAGTGGCATTGAAACCACTTATTAGGTTTCGAAATACATTCTTTGCCATATGAATTGGAATAGGGAAAGGGTAGTTAACAAACAGGCTATCATGTAAACACTGTTCGCAGCTACATCTAGGTCAAGCCTCTCGACGTATTGGGGTCAGAGTAGCTGAACACAGATGTTTTAAAGTCTGGAATAGCGCGACATTTCTATTTGACTGATCACTAAATTTTCTGGTGTAACTTATTACAGGATCACTCCACTTTAAATTCACCCTTAGACTTAATTGAGGTTTGGAACATTAAATCAAAATAACGATCCGTTCATCATTCCGGGCAGGTATAAATGTTTACAATTTATCGAATAATTGTCGCTGTTGTGATTTTGTAGCATTTTCTTTGTTTGCCAAGATTTATAAATCGATAATCATGTGTTGTTTCAATTGATTACGTGTGTGTAATTTCACGCAAACTTACTCGAAAGTTATCTGCGTTAACCGTTCCTAATTTTGAAGCTGAAGAAGCAGCTAGTTAGCACTACCCACCGCCATCTCTTGGGCTACCTTGTATCAACAAATAACGAGATTGACCGTCATATTGTAACGCCCCTACGGCTAAAAGGGTGAGACTGTTCAGCTTTCCATCCTGAGACCCACAAATGGAGAGTCAAGCGCCATGCCAGGCCGATTAATTTGAGCTTACTGAAAAGGACACTCTGAAACGCTTGTGTTATTAAGTTTTTTATTGTATAGATTTTAGTAACTATCGTGATAAACCTACTTTACAATCAATCCTTATAGAACATCTACTCTCTACTCAGTGTTTAAAAATTAAATTAATATATAGTCCCTTAAAATATACACCATGCAGGATATAAATAGCATTAAAACATTGGTCCGAGTGTGGTCTGGTGGTTATCGTGCTTGGGCTGTGAATTCGTGATTCTATGGTTGTTGCAGCAAAAAACTCGCTCCGCACTTTTTGACGGTCAAATCTCATTATTCGAATAGACAAGACTAGACAAAGATTTCGCGGTGAGTGGTGTTGACTAGTTTCCTTTCTTCTAGTCTATCGGTTCAAAATTAGAAATACCTATGCACATATAGTCTTTATGTAATGCGTTATTACCGAACGCGGCATGAACCATTAATTCTAGGATTCACAGTCCGGCGCGCTAATTAATAAACAACTCTAACCCAAGTTAAATGAAAACAATGTTCTTCCTGTTAGATTCAATAGGTTTAATGTTTACTAAATGTTTCTTATTTGGATAAAACTAATTATTTATTTATGGTCAGCAACTTTCGGTTCTTTTAGAAGTTTAGTGCAAACCTACACAAAAGTTATGTGTGCATAACTGTCCTTTATTTTGATCTGGGAAGCAGCTATTCAAGAGCATCCACCCCCAACTCTTCGACTACTCGCGTCTGACCGAATAGTAGGATTTGACCACAGCTCTTATAGCTTACCCCTAGCCCTAAAGTTCGGAGTACGTTTATGCAGCAACGTGACGCAACCCATGAATCCCATGTTCAGACTCCAGGGCTAAACACTAAGCCATGTCTTGCCTATGGTCAATAGAAATAATATTTCTGGAAATCATACCAATATATAAACTTACCTCAGTTCGTCTCCAACGAAAGGTTTGGCTGGAATAAGGAGGAAAATATTCCCATCAATACAAAGAAGGCATAAAGTTAGACATCTAGTGACACATATCTTTACAAACATTTGTCCATCAGTACAAACAATGTATAAAGTTAGACATCTAATGGTATATATTTTTATAAGCATTTCGTTTCTTCTTTGAGGCTTTACCACAACACAATGTCATTTATTAGTCACATAACAAACAAATGCTGCGATCATAAATAATCTTCTTTATGGCTTTACCACAACACAATGTCATTTATTAGTCACATAACAAACAAATGCTACGATCATAAATAATCTTCTTTATGGCTTTACCACAACACAATGTCATTTATTAGTCACATAACAAACAAATGCTACGATCATAAATAA